TTTTTTTTTTTTTTTTTGCTGATTCTTCTGTACTGTTATGAAGGAGAGGGTAGTTAGAATGACGCTCCTGATTCCGTGCCGTAGCTTCCCATAGCCATCTGTTTTCTTCTGTCTTCCTTCTACCTGGGGAAGTATGCTACTCCGTCATCCTGTGTGTATGGCTTTGCAGGATTTGGGAGATGGGCAATCCGAGTGTGTCGGGAACAAGAAGAATATCACTCTGCAGAGGGTATTCTGAATTAAATTTTTGGAAATTATGAGGGAAACCCAGTCTCAGTGAGCGGAGGGGACGAAGACTGGCCGTACTGTGGAGACGATCTGAAAGCAATTCCAGAGAGTTACAGATGCTGTGCCCACAGCAGGTGTCTGTACCGTTCCTACAGTTGGTTGAGTAATGCTAATGTCATTTACAATTGTGTTAGATGTCTGGAGGTTGGGAGAGGTAGGTGCCCCCCTCCTCCCCTCCTCCCCTCCTCCCCTCTCCCCCCTCCCGAAGAAAGTCAGAAGCTGGCTTTTTCGACTTCGGTGGCTTCCTCTCTGACATCTTCTGTGTGGATTGGATGTGTGGGCAGCAGCTTGTGTTGCACCGAACAGCATGAGTCACATGCGTTGGTACTACTTGGTAGCCTGGGTCGTCGCAAAAAAAAAAGAAAAAAGATGCCCATGCGCATGTCTGGTGCCATGTGGCTGCATTCCTCGGGGATACTGTGTGTGCGATGATGCCATCCTCTTGTGGAATATTTAGATCCCGTTGTGGACAGTTGGGATTCCGTTGTGAAGGGGGAGATCTCATCCAGCTGTGGAGAATGGGGTCCCTTTGTGAATATCCCCCAGTCGTGTGGGGATCAAGCGCTGATGGTGGCGTGGAGTTGGCACTATCTTGCGTTGTGTGGAGCTGGCACTGTCCGCGTTGCGCGGACTCTACGGTCAGATTGGGCACTGGATTGAATCTGTCGAAGCAGAGCCTTTTCTGCAGAAAACTACTGACAAAAATGACCACAATTAACATAACCATAGTCAAAAGTATCAAACAGGAACCACCCCCAAGAAGCAGAAATGTGCCTTGCTGTTTGGCTTAGGCGGTATGCTTCACACAAATTGTTGGTGATGCCCAATAAGTGAAGAAAGGTTTTGCAAATTTGCACCCTCAGGAATTGATTGGTAATTACTAGTTACTTTCACGGTTCGACAGTGGATGCGTTGCTTCCTGTTTTCTCGAAAGAAAAATTATGAGGGCCATTGGCAGAACCTTGTTGTACCACTTGTACCTCAGATGCATGAAGTGCACCAACATTCTGTTTTTTTTTGTTTTTTTTTTTTTTTTGGGATGACACCTTCCTTTTTT